TATTAGCTCTGTTGATTTTCTGTTTAGCTGATCTATCCATTGATGAAAATGGGATGTTGAAATCCCCCATTATTATTGTGTTGGAGTCTATGTGTCCCTTTAGATCCATTAACATATTTTTAAATAACCAGGTGACTTGGCTTTGGGTGTATATACATCTATTATAGTCACATTTTCTTGTTGAATTGATCAATTCAGCATTATATAATGCCCTTCTTTGTCTCTTTTAAGAGTTTTTGTGTTAAAATCTCTTTTGTCTGCTTCTTTTTTTCTTTCTGTTAGCATGGAATATCTTTTTCCATTCTTTCACTTTCAGTCTTTGGGTATCTTTGTTGGTGAGGTGTGTTTCTTATAGGTAGCAAATAGATGAGTCATGTTTGTTAATCCATTCAGCCAGTCTCTATCTTTTAATTGGAGAACTTAGGGACCAGCACTGTGGAGCAGCAGCACAGCAGGTTAAAGCCCTGGCCTGAAGCGCCAGCATCCCATAAGGGTGCTGGTTCTGGTCCCAGCTGTTCCTCTTCTGATCCAGCTCTGCTATGGCCTGGGAAAGCAGTAGAAGATGGCCCAAGTCCTTGGGCTCCTGCACCCACGTGGAAGACCTGGAAGAAGCTCCTGGCTCCTGGCTTCATATTGGTGCAACTTGGGCCATTGTGGCCATCTGGGGAGTAAACCAGTGGATGGGAGACCTCTCTCTCTGCCTCTACCTCTCTCTGTAACTCTTTCAACTAAATAAAAGTAAATCTTTAATAATTAAAAATGAATCTTAATGAAGAATGGGATGGGAGAATGAGTAGGAGATGGGATGGTTTGCAGGTGGGAGGGTGGTTATGAGGGGGAAAACTGCTATAATCCAAAAGTTGTACTTTTGAAATTTATATTAAATAAAAGTTTTCTAAAATAAATAAATAAATAAATCTTTTAAAAATTAACTGGAGAATTTAGGCCATTTATATTCAAGGTTACTATTAATAAGTAATGACTCTGCCCTGAAATTTTTTCCATAAATATTCTTATTGTTTGCTTTGGATTTCCTTTGTACTTTTACTGGGAGATTTTCTACTTTCACATTCTTTCATAATCAGCACTATTCTGTGTTTCTGTGTGTAACATGTCCTTAAGCATCATTTGTAAGGCTAGATGAGTGGTGACAAATTCTTTCAACTTCTGTTCGTTATGGAAAGTTTTTATTTCACCTAGTTCGTACAGTATTCTGGGTTTACAGGTTTTTTTTTTTTTCATTTAATATTTGGCTTGGACTATGTCTCTCCATTCTTTCCTAGCCTTTAGTTTTTCTGATTAAAAGTCAGCTGTGAATCAAATTGGAGATATGCTGAAAGTAATCTAGTGTTTCTCTAATGCACAGTTTAGAATCTTTTCTTTATGTTTTACTATTGAGTGTTTGACTACAATGTGTTGTGGTGAAGATCTTTTCTGGTCATGTCTATTAGGAGTTCTAAGTGCCTCGTGTACTTTGACTTCTCTTTCTCCAAATTTGGGAAATTTTCTGTAATTATTTCACTTAATAGGCCTTCTAATCCTTTCTCTCTTTCCACACCTTCAGAAAGTTCCAAGACCCACATGTTAAGTTGTTTGATAGTATGCCTTAAATCTCGAACTTTGTTTTTAATTTGTCTTATTTCTTCTTTTTTCAGTCTGAGATATTGCCAAAGATTTGTCTTCTAGCTCAGATATTCCTTCTTCTGCCTAAGCACTTCTATTGTTAAGGCTTTCTGTTGTATTTTTGTATTTGACATATTGAATTCTTCATTTCTAATCATTCGTTTCATTTTGATTTCTCTAAAAAACTTATATCTCATGGGAAAATTATTTCCCCAATCCATATATGGATTTCTTTAAGTCATGAATTGCTTCTCATTTCTTCTGAGTAATCCTGTATCATTCTTTTGAATTCCTTTTCAGGCATTTCATCAACCTTTCTTCAAATTCTAATATTGAAGTGTTGTGCTCCTTTGGGAGAGTCATGTTGTCTTTCTTATTCTTGTTTATTGAATCTCTGTCTTTATTTTGAGGCATTTTTTGGAAATAGTTGTTAGGATTTTTTTTTTCCTCTGATTGTTTTAATCTTTGAACTATGCCTCTGTGGCTTGGTGGAGTATCTGCTCTTCCAGTGAATACCCAGAGGTATGTGCTGGGTATGGCCTGGGAGCTCTGGTCAGTGCTCCAGGGTGGGGCAAGTCTCCAAGGTGACACCCAGGTAGAGTCTGGTAGATCTCTATTGTCAACAGGGGGCAGTGTATGATCACCTCTCTTGCAATAATCACACCCTCACCTATCTTCCAAGGTGTTCACTGACCAAGGTTAGCCCACAGTGGGTATAACTCTCACCTGTGCTGCCCCATGAACCACACAAATGATCTGTGCTGTCCTTGATGTGAGCATGGATCCCTCTGCAGTGACTCATCCAGGCAATCAGGGAAATCTGAGTCTCTGGCATGGACACAGTGGTTGCCAAGAGACCCAGATGCACCCTGTGCCCTGTCATGAAGTTACAGAGTCCCCACAGTCACAGCCTACAAGGCTCCCATCATCTCAGGGTGCAGAGGATCTACTCCACCCCACTAGCCTGTCCCCTCCACAGAGACAGCAGAGATGTTCCCAGAGCCAGCTGCTAATGATGCCCCATGTTGTCAGTTTGAGCCCTGGAGCCTGTGATATGTTGAGAGAATGGGCACACTTCACATCCCTGCGTGGATGCCCAGCCCCTAAGTAAAATCCCCTGATTGGGTAAAATCCCCTCATCACGTGAGTGCATGAGAACTTGCCATAGCCGCTTAGTGGTGTCAAAATGGTGCCTTCTCCCTGCCAGCTGAAGGTGCCCTTGTGAGGGGGTGGGGATGCTTTTTTTTTTTTTTTTTTTGCTGGATTAGGCAGATACCTTTCCCCCTAGTTAGGGCTCCAGGCCGGACTCAAAGAGAGTGTGGTCTGCAAAGTTCTCCCTCTGGCAGTGTCACCAGTGGCACAGACTGCTACAGCCTGCCTCATCTTGTTCTCCAAAGCTGATGGATCCTCCATCTCCTGGCTCTGTGGGTTGTGTGTGGTGCCTGTGCTCATTGCTGCACCTGTGCGTCTTCCACACTGTTCCACAGGGTTCCTTTTCCTTATGTCACTTTCCACTGCAAATTTCTCTTCAGTTCTCCCATGGGAACGCACTTCCTCTGCTTTTTTGCTGCTATTTTCCCCTCATCTAAAGTAGTACATTTTTTCCCTGTACAGCCATCTTGGAATCCTAGATTATGCTTTAGAACTTGCTAACTCTTAAGGATCCAGTGATTTTATTATTATTTATTTTATTTTAAATGCAGAGAGAGGAGGAGAGAGGTGAGGGGAAAGAGAGGAGGAGATGGAGAGGGGAGAGGAGAAGAGAGAGAGAGAGAGAGAGAGATCAGAGAGATCATGTGTTCTCTGGTTCACTTTGCAAACTGTGTCAGCAGTCATGGCTATGCCATGCTGAAGCCAGGAGCTTAGAATTCCACCCACATCTTCCACATGGGTGTCAGGGGCCCAAATACCTGGGCCATCATCTGCTGCTTCTCAGGCACATTAGCAGGCAACTGAATAGAAAGCGGAGCAGCCAAGATTCAAACTGGCACTTCTATATGGGATGCAAGCTGTACCACAATGCTGGCCCACTGATTTGATTTACAGAGAAGTAGTAGACAGGTTTTAGAAGGTGCTCTTCTGAAAGTTGTCTAGCTTAACATAGATGCAGCTGACTAGATTCATGATAATTTAGGATCATTTCATGAACACAATGTAGAAAGTATTTTCATTGGTGAGGAAATTATTACTGATGGACAAAGAATTCTGTGAATCTAGTTACATAATTTAGCACTCCTTTGGAAAGGACCTGGAGTCTGCTTTTAACTAAGCCAAGAATAGGGAGAGGTAATGTTCCTCCAGCATACATCTTTTTTGTTACCCATGTTTGGATTTTTTTTGTACCCATGTTTGGATTTCAAAAATTTTTGCCTCAATATAAATTTGTATTTCAGATCTGTTTTCCATGAGCCTTTTTAAGAACCTTCATGTATTACATTGACATGGACATCATGAGAATGATAGAGCATGAGCCCAAAAGGCATCCAAACAGGCCAAATTCTCAACCAGTTTCCTCACTGGTAATTAGTGTCAATTTAAATGAATACATTTAAAAATAATCTTATGCTTTTATTTCATTTTTTCCTTGAACTTTAAAACATTATTTAGTATGTTTGAAGTGCAGAGAGACAGAGATGGTGGGTGGGGGAGGAGAGAGAAAGAGAGAGAGAGAGAGACAGATAGAGAGAGGCAGAGGAGAGAGATGAGAGAAACAAAGATCATCTATTTGCCAGTTCACTTTCCAAATGACAGCAAAACCTTAGGCTAGGCCAGGCTGCAGCCAACAGCCTGAAAGTCCATACAGGTATGCCCCCTAGGAGGCAGGGATCCATCTACTTGAGATGTCATCTGATGCCTCCTACTGTGCGCAATCTTGGGAAGCTGGATCAAAAGTGGAGCAGGGACTTGAACCTAGGAACTCCAACATGGGATGCAGTTGTTTCAAGTAGGAATCTACCCACCACATCAAATGCCTACTCCCAATTTAAATATAATGCAAATATTTATGAGAACATAATGTTGAAAACATAATTCTAGTTTACAATCCTAATGCCAAGGAAAATATAGCTACTTATGCTTGTGTAGGTAAACAGCATTTTATCATAAGAGTACATTAATTTGACTAGGGACAGAAGCCTCAAACGAGGCTCTTAGAATGAGTTGAAGTCAGAGACTTGGATTAGGAGAAAATTTATCTCCTCATTTGGCAAATTAGTTTTATTGCTGTTTCTTGCTGTGAGCTGCATTTGCTGTCTCTCAGTTCTTATGGTAGAATATGTATGTATGTATGGCTTTTAATTTCCAGTACTACATCTCTTTTTCTCTCTTTGTCTCTCTCTCTCTCTCTCTCTCTCTCTCTCTCTCTCTTTTTTTTTCAGAGAGCAGACAAAAAGGCTAGAATCTTTTAATCCCAATGCCAAACTCACCTTGTGGCAACTTTGACCTGATTATGGTAAATGTGTCCACTTCCCTTGGAATTAGAGTCAGGCTGAACTAATGTTCTTTCTCTCTTGCAATCGTCTGTTTGAAACCATGGGAAAAGAAGTAGCAGTCAACGACCTTGTCTAAATATGATCAGAGTTGGTGAACTCAAAAGGCTTCCATAGCCTTGGCGACTCATGACAAGAGCCTAGGGTGATTACTGATGCCATAAACAAGAGTGTCAATTTGTTAAGTCAACAACAGGAGTCACTGTGCACTTACTCCTCATGTAGGATCTCTGTCCTTAATGTGCTGTACATTGTGATTTAATGCTATAACCAGTACTGAAACAGTATTTTTCACTTTGTGTTTCTATGTGGGTGCAAACTGTTGAAATCTGTACTTAATATATGCTAAACTGATCTTCTGTATATAAAGAGAATTGAAAATGAATCTTGATGTGAATGAAAGGGGAGAGGGAGCTGGAGAGGGAGGGTGGTGGCTAGGAAGGAAGTTATGGAGGGGAAGCCATTGTAATCCATAAGCTGTACTTTGGAAATTTATATTCATTAAATAAACGTTAAAAAAAATAAAAATTAAAAAAATTGGACTTTTTAACTGTTGAGTTTTTTTTTTGTCCTGTATATATTTTGATTATTCGTCTACCATCAAATGTATAGTTTGCAAACATTTCCTCCCTTTCTATAGTTATCCCTTTGCTATTGTTTCCTTTGCTGCCAAGGCTTTTTTGTTCGAATAGTTTTGCTTTGGTTTCCTATGCTTTGGGGGCTTTATCCAAAAGATCCTTCCCTATTCTATATGTTCTGAAGCATTTCTTGTTTTGTGATAGTAGTTTCATGGTTTCAGGTCTCGCATTTAGGTCTTGACCCATTTTGAGTGAATTTTAAAAAAAAAAAATTATTTCAAAGGCAGAGAGAGAGAGAGATAGAGAAAGAGGAAGAGAGAGATTCCATCCATTGGTTACTTCCCTAAATGGCCACAATTGCTTGGCCAGGATGAATCCCAGAGGAAGAAGTTTCATCCGGTTCTCCCATGCAGTTGGCAGGTGCCCAAGCCCTTGGGCCATCCTCCACTGCTTTCCTAGGCACATTAGCAGAGAGCTAGATCACAAGTGGGGCAGCTGAGACACAAACCGGCACCCATATAGAATGCCCGGATTGCAGGCAGCGGCTTTCCCTACTATGCCACAGCTCCAGCCCCCGTTGAGTTGATTTTTATACATGGTGATATTTAAGAGGTTTGATTTCAAACACATAGCAGTTATTTTCAATTCCTCTTTCCAATCAGAAGGCTCATGGATACATCCCGATGCAAGAGAAGATAGTAAATGCATTAATTGATGTAACCATCATTTACCAATGACAATTTTATTCTGTTGAAGAAAATAGGCCAGTGCCGCAGCTCAATAGGCTAATCCTCTGCCAGCGGTGCCAGAACCCTGGGTTCTAGTCCTGGTTGGGGCACCGGATTCTGTCCCGGTTGCCCCTCTTCCAGTCCAGCTCTCTGCTGTGGCCCGGAGTGCAGTGGAGGATGGCCCAAGTGCTTGGACCCTGCACCCACATGGGAGACCAGGAGAAGCACCTGGCTCCTGGCTTTGGATCAGCGTGGTGCGCCAGCTACAGTGGCCATTGGAGGGTGAACGAATGGAAAAGGAAGACCTTTCTCTCTGTCTCTCTCTCTCTCTCACTCTGCCTGTCCAAAAAAAATGAAATTTGGTAAACATCTAACAATCTCTTTGATAAACATGTAACAATCTCTTACACACTTCTTTATCATTTTCTATTTTCTTCTTTAATATTTTATTGTGTAGGTGGCATGTACCAATGCCATCTCACTAGTCCCAGTGATCAATTTCTGTTCACAATTGATCATAATGATAGGACTAAGAGTCAAAGGGATCACATAAACAAGACTAGTGTCTGAAAATATTAACTGATAGAATACAAAAAAAAGGAAGAGAACGATCCAGCATGGGAAGCGGGATACACAGCACACTTATAGAATGGCAGATGTTCTAAACAGCACTCTGGCCTCAGAATCAGCCCTTAAGGCATTTGGATGTGGCTGAAAAGCCCATGAGAGTATTTCAGGCATGGAAAGCCAAGACACTCTGGCAAAAATAAATAAATAAATAAATAAAATCAAATAAATAAAATAAAAAAAAAAATGACCTCTCTGTGAGTGAGATCCCAATGGAAAGAACAGGTCATCAAAGAAGGAGGTACCTTTCTCTGAAGGGAGGATAGAACTTCCACTTTGACTATAACCTTGTCTAAATATGATCAGAGTCGGTGAACTCAAAAGGCTTCCATAGCCTTGGCGACTCATGACACAAGAGCCTAGGGTGATTACTGATGCCATCAACAAGAGTGTCAATTTGTTAAGTCAACAACAGGAGTCACTGTGCACTTACTCCTCATGTAGGATCTCTGTCCTTAATGTGCTGTACAATGTGAAGTAATGCTATAACTAGTACTGAAACAGTATTTTTCACTTTGTGTTTCTATGTGGGTGCAAACTGTTGAAATCTTTAGTTACTATATACTAAATTGATCTCCTGTATATAGAGAGAATTGAAAATGAATCTTGATGTGAATGAAAGGGGAGAGGGAGCTGGAGAGGGAGGGTGGTGGCTAGGAAGGAAGTTATGGGGGGGGAGCCATTGTAATCCAAAAGCTGTACTTTGGAAATTTATATTCATTAAATAAAAGTTAAAAAATGTTGCATTGTGTTTTCCCATGTCAATAACAATTTTGTTTCAAAAGATTAATCCTATCAGCTTTCCACCTTTGCCCTCTACCTTGTTTTTTTCCCCCAAAGCTCTACTTTTCTTGTGTATTATAATTGTTAAAGAGTTTGTTATATTTTATTGTTAATATATTGAGAAAAAATACTTATATGAATCCAATATTACTTCAGAATTAAGGCTAGTAAATGTAGAATTATTGTGTTAATGCTAATTTTAGAAGATTTTTGATGTACAAGAATACTTCAAAAAGTCTGTGGAAAGTGGGATTAAAAGATAAGTTTATTTTGGTGCAAAAGTTTTTTCATAACGTGCGTTTTCCTTGAATTGAAGATCTCTCATATGTATTGATTTCAAAATTTTTTGCAAAAAAAGAAGCTTATTTTTTAATTTCATTTTCCTTGAACTATTTGCAGTACCCTTTGCATTGATTTTTAGAAACCTCATGCTCATTTCATCTGGAAAGCATATATCAAATATGCTTACTTGTTCCAGCACTTGGTGTTGCCAGTGTAGCAAAATGGCAGTTTGATGTATAGAAAATAATTATCCATCATTAATTATGTAGGTGTCTGTAATATCACTGTGAGGTGAATTGAGACAGTTTCCCTTCTGCTCTTCATGTATGTCTGTTTTCCCTTCTGGGTGTTGTTTAAGATTGGATAAACACCTTGCGAAACAAGACAAAAATTCTCTGGAGGGAAATAACTTGAGTGCATGTATCTGTCTGTATGTTTGATTTTCATTTTTTTTTTGAATTTAAAATTTATGTTAAAAGAAATGCAGTCAGTTTGGCCTTTGGCCAAATAAGACTTGTGCTTCAAAGTTTTACCCTTAGGTACAAGGACAATTTTGTGTCAGAGAACTATTCATATGACCAAGGACAAAATTGTCTTCTTTTTTTTTTTATAAAAGTATCAATTTTTATGCTCTAAAACCCTTAAGGTAAAAATTAGCCACACCTCGTGCTGATCAAATTTTATCCTGGTATAATTTATCTTCTAGGGGCCATGAATATGTTTTTGAGATTTCTCCTGCATTCATATCACAGCTCTCCTTTTATAGGAAATAGAGATTTTTCTCCTCTGCTACCTGCTTACTTTACCTCCCTATAGCAGTCTAAGGAAGGTACCTGCATATGTCATTTTCCATCCATATTTCAACCAGCAATGAGAATTAGAGGACTGAAAAGAGCTTTCTATTTTTTTTCATCAAACACATCAGGGTTTGTTCCTCACAATTGGATCTTTTTGCACTTGAATTTCCCTTCTTCAAAAACCATTACTCTCTGCTCATCCTCCTGATTAAGCTTAGCTGTCACATCCTTTGTGAAGAGAAAAGGTTAAAATTTACTTTGTCTCTCCACTTTTTACATAGTGCACTTATTTTCTTTGGAAGTTTTGTCACTGACAGTTGCTATTTATTAGTTATCTTAATAGTTTGAACTTTGCCGTAACATGAATTTTTGTTTTGCTTCCTACTGTATGATACATAATTTCTAGAATGGACTCTTATAAGTAGATGCTGAGTGAACAGAAGGGATTTGTTAAGTAAACTAATAGATAATTAAAATATAGGAGGATTACTATGGGATATAGCTTATTAAAATATATTTTACCATTTGTGTACTAGCTTTACAAATGACAAACCTCATTTACGTATCTGGCTGTTATGGAACTAGAGAATCAATAGGAATACTAATGGGAAGATTGCAAGCAGATTTCATGGAATTTTTGCGTGAGATTCAGTGTATGTATCTTGTAATATTCTGTCTGCTCCCTTTGCATGCATGCTACTCTATGCTCTGGAAGGGTCAAAGTCTGGGAGCCTGGAAGTTTGGGGATCTTAGTTTCTTGAGGGACAAACTTGGCTTGATGAGTTACAGGATCTAGGTGAGATCTGACAGATTCTTCTTTCTTACTTCTCCCAAGAGACTGTTCTGAAATACAGTGATTCCACACATCCATGTGTCTGAGGTTGTTCTGATGTGGTCATTTTAGCAGCGAACCATTTTCTATTTGTCTTTTCTTCTTTCCAGACTAACTGACTTTCTCTCATACTCTTGATGCCCTGGGATTATATTCTAGGGTTTTTGTTCTACGTGAAACCTTACTTGAGGGTCTCTTTTTTTAGAAAATCTATGCTAACTACCTGTTCCCTGGCTCTTCAATACATAGTGAATAATGTTTCTTCCCTTCAACTCATGTTGAAAGAATTAAAATTGCAGGCCTAAACCTCCTTTCAAAGCTGAAACCCCGTGGGGC